TGATAAACAGCATCTAGTGCATGTAGTGCTTATAAGATTTGTATTAATGTAGCAAGAAATGCTGCTGTTCTCTTTAAACAAAATGAGCCCTGAAGCTCACATTAAGCATGAAAAAAGAGCATGCATATTTTTGCAAAGGACCAATGAAACTGAAGAATAGTGTCCCTACCAAAGTTGAAATCAAACCTACGCCCTTGGATAAAATGTAATCCCTTAGGTGAGCCCTGGATAGACACAGAACAGGAAATACGCAGTAATATCGTGCAGCCGTACACCCATCTGGAATAACCCTGACATTCTACAAAACAATAATATGATTGTCAGGACTCCTGTCTGTGTATTTGTGTTTCTGTGTTTGTCTCCCTTCCTCCACCAGTAGGCGCCTGGCTCTGGTCCACCTCCTCACACACCTGCTGATGGTTTCCTTGTTAACGGAGCATTCGTAAGCTGCTAACTGCCACTACTTCGACGCCAGAGTGTTTGCCAGTTTTGGGTACTCTAGCCAAGCTGAGTTTTGCTGAGTAAAACTGAGTTTTTGTCTACCTGAGTTTTAACTTTGTTTTTGTCTTTGCCTCTCGGCAGCACACCATCCTGCAAACTGGATTTTTCGGACCTTCTCTCCCTGGAAGGACCAACTGAGCTACAAACTGAGTTGGGGTTCAAACAGGAGGTTTGGATCCACTTCGTTTGAGCTTCGCACTGAGAAAGGGATTCATCTCCACTACGACCCGTTCAAGTACTGCAGGAAATCTAAGTGGCAGTCAGTTTCTCCGTTCACCTACAAACAACCGCATTCAGGGAAAACCCTGTTCTGCCCTACTCCGAATCAGACAAACACTGGAACTACAGCATACAGACTGGAGTTAATGATTCAACAACTTCTCTAGAAACGTGAGTCAGCAACCAAATCCTCTTCTTCAAGTTCACAACTCCAATTTCCCACTGAGCCCGAATTAACCGCTGTGTCTTCCCCTCACTTTTCAGTTCCTAAAACCTGTTAAACCTCCTAAAACCTGTTAAACCTTTCCCCTGGTCTAACTGTGCTCGTCCTGTTGGATCTCAGTGCTGCATTTGATACAATTGACCATAATATTCTTTTAGAAAGACTTGAATATTTTGTTGGAATTAAAGGAACAGCACTAGACTGGTTTAAATCTTATCTATCTGATCGAATTCAGTTTGTTCATGTTAATGATAGATCTTCAACTGTGGAGTACCACAGGGATCAGTGCTAGGACAAATTCTCTTTACTTTATACATGCTCCCAATTGGTAGAGTTATTAGACAGCATGGGATTAATTTCCACTGTTATGCTGATGATACCCAGCTATATCTGTCTATAAATCCAGATGAAGCTAACCCATTACATAAATTACAGGCATGTCTTGAAGACATAATACCCTAGATGACTCTTAACTTTCTGCTTCTGAATGCAGACAAAACAGAAGTTATAGTCTTTGGACCAGAGTCTTTGAAAAAGAAGCTGATTAGCCAGTCACTTCATTTGGATGGGATTAAACTGATTTCAGATAATAAAGTAAAAAATCTTGGTGTTGTTTTTGATCAGGACCTGTCATTTAAATCCCATATCAAAGAGGTTTCTAGAATTTCCTTCTTTCATCTGAGGAACAATGCAAAAATTAGAAATCTCCTGTCCAGGGGTGATGCTGAGAAACTAGTCCATGCATTTGTTACTTCAAGGCTGGACTATTGTAATTCTTTACTATCAGGAAGTTTACAATCTGTAGTTAAAAGCCTTCAGCTGATCCAAAATGCTGCAGCCAGAGTTCTGATGAAAATTAAAAAGAGAGATCATATCTCTCCTATCCTGGCTTCTCTTCATTGGCTTCCTGTTAAATCCAGAATAGGATTTAAAATCCTCCTTCTCACATATAAAGCATTAAATGGCCAAGCTCCATCTTATATCAGAGATCTGATTGTTCCTTATGTTCCTAACAGAGCACCTCGCTCTCAATCTGCAGGTTTACTAGTGGTTCCTAGAATTTTTAAAAATAGAATGGGAGGCAGATCTTTTAGTTATCAGGCTCCTCTCCTGTGGAACCAACTACCAGTTTTAGTCCATGAGGCAGACACCCTGTCTACTTTTAAGGCTAGGCTTAAAACTTTCCTTTTTGATCAAGCTTATAGTTAGGGTGGCTCAGGTTATCCTGAGCTATCTCTATAGTTATGCTGCTATAGGCTTAGACTTCTGGAGGACATAGGGACCCCCATTTCATCATTCTGCTTCATTCTCTCTCTATTCTCCTATTCTGCAGAATCTTTTAGTTCAATCTCTAACGTTCTGCACTCTCTGCTTTTCCTCAGAGTAGCTTTGCCTCATCTGTTCCTGTCTGGCTGTGACGCCATCCTGGAAAGAAACATCAGCTGTGCTGCTTCCATCTACACCCTTGTTTATAGATGCTGGAGATCGGCCTGTTTTCCAGTGTGGTCCTGTTTCTCTGACCGTGACTGAGTGGATGTGCTCTCTTCGTCCTCTGGCATGGGAGTTCGCTCGAAGCTCGTCTGCCTGGAGTGTGTTTCCTGGACGGGGCCGCCTTTTACAGCTGCTTTTTGTGTCTCTGCTTCTGTCTCTTTGAACCCCAGTCGGCCTCGGCAGATGGCCGCTCACACTGAGCCTGGTTCTGCTGTAGGTTTCTTCCTGTTAAAAGGGAGTTTTTCCTCTCCACTGTCGCTACAAGCATGCTTAGTGTGAGGGATTGTATTTGAGTCAATGAGTCAATGCAATCAACTGGTTTTCCTTAGATAGAAAACTTTGTATCAATTTGACTGTATGATCGGGTTGAACTGTGAAGTGCCTTGAGAAGACGTGTTGTGAATTTGGCGCTATATAAATAAACTGAATTGAATTGAATTGAACTGTTTGGTCTTCTGCATTTGGGTCTGAACCTTAGTTAAATCAGGACAATGATAAACTTTTTGCACTGGAAGAATAAAGGTATTAACTATCTGGAACATTTATTTGAAGGTACAGAGTTTATTACATTTGGTAGATTAAATTTGCAATATGGCATTAACAAAAATAAATTCTTAAAATATGAGAAAATTAAAGCTATAATTAGAAACAAATTTAAGCATATTGATGGAGGTTTACAAATTCCAATTAATATATCAGAGTTCCTAGAGTTAACCCCCCCAAACTACTGTGTAAATTATACAGGACACTGACTAAACTGCATGATACAATATCTCTTCCTATCCTATTATTAAATGGGAGGAGGATTTATCAGCCAGCTTTAAACAAAACATCTGGGCTCAGATATGTCTAAGAACTTTTAACATGACTAGAAACCTCAATTTACAATTAATAGCAGACGTGGAGCTGACAAAATTAATAGCAAAGAAAAACAGCATGTCGGTCATTTGGCAGTATTTTGGATTTGAGGCCACTGATAAGCACCAGAAACAGGTGATTTGCCAAACATGTCGTGGGAAAGTGGCTACATCGGCTGGCAATACCACTAATTTACATCGTCACTTGAGAGTTCACCACCTTAACTTGTATGAGGAGTGTATGGCGAAAAAGAGCCTTGAAACATCAAGTAGCAGTGATACTTCAGCAAAATAGCCAACCATAACATCATCCTTTGCCAGTTTGACATCTTATGAAAGAACTAGCCGAAGACACAAGGAGATTACCACTGCCGTAACGAATTACATATCGAAGGATATGGTGTCTGTAAACACAGTAACCAAAGACGCATTTAAAAGTTTGCTACGCACAATGGACAAGAGGTATGTTCTACCCTCCCGCACCTAGTTTAACCGAGTCGCCATCCCACAGCTGTATGGAGAATGCAGGGCCAAAGTTGTAAATGAGCTGGAAAACATGTAGTTTGACGTGTCAACTACGGATCTGTGGTCAAGTAGAACGACCCGAGCCAAACATGAGTTTGACGGTGCATTTCGTGAACGCAAACTTTGAGTTGAGAAGCCGCTGCCTGCAGACAGCATACTTTCCCACTGACCATACGGGGGAGAACATTGCAATTGGGCTTAAGGAGTGCTTGGCAAACTGGGGCCTAAAAGAAGAGGCCCAGACCTGCATCACAACAGACAACGCCACGAACATGGTCAAAGCGATGGAGTTCAATCAATGGACCAGACTGCAGTGCTTCGGGCACCGGCTGCACCTTGCAATTGGTAAGTGTTTGTGTGTGTGTGTCCAAATTTACTGTGTAAGAATTAGTGTTAACATAGTCTCTCAAACACAGTTAGGGAGGGGGACAAAGCGACGATATGTTTGTTTTCACGCTGTTGTTAGCTGACCAACTGTTAGCGCAATGCTACCTTTTCTCCTACTGATAAAAATGAACCCTTTCATGAGTAAACTTTGAAACCTCCCAATAAGCTACTGCTTGCTTCTGTTTAGCTACAGAATGCCAAGGAACAGAGAGATACAAATGCGGTTTCCCCTAAGCTTATTTTTGACGCCCTTTAGAAAAAAAAAATATAGGTAGCAAATGATGCCAATGGCGTTTTGTAGCAGATATGAGGATGGTGCCGTCACTGATGCCACTTTATTACGGATTAAAAGGTTTGTTGTGTTTTAGTGGATTATCGAAGAAACATATTGCTGCAAATTAATCACCAGTTACAAATTAATGTATGGCGAATTACTTAATGTGGTAGCACCACCTGACGTCTGCTGTTAAAAAAACATCACTGAACATCCAACAGACGGTAGCCTATGTTAACACTGTTTTATGAAGTAGGCTTATCTGACTGTATGTAATGTTTTTCCCAGAAAATGCAGTCAAAGATGACCAACGGATCAAACGGGCTACAGGACTGTGCAAGCAGCTGGTAGCAGTCTTTAGCCACAGCTGGAAGAAAAAGGCAGCGCTAAAACAGGCACAGGAAGACCTGAATCTTCCTCAGCAGTCAATGGTCACCGAATGTCCGACACGATGGGGCTCCCGGCAGAAAATGATTGAGAGGGAGTTGGGACAGAGCAAGGCACTGTGCCAAGTTCTGTCTGAAGACAGGAAGAAGTGGCACCTGGTCCGACTTGGCAAGACACTGATGTGCTTGAATCTGTAAACAATGCCCTCGGTCCTCTTCAGGAGTTCACAGACGCCCTCTCAGGTGAGGACTACGTGAGCGTATCCTACCTAAAGCCAGTGCTCCACCTGCTGAGAACAGCAACACTTGCTGTAACTGACCAAGACACAGATCTCACAAAGGAGATAAAGTCAAGAGCTCTCCACTACATTGAAGAGAAATACAGTGACCCAGCGACCCAGGAACTCCTGGACATCGCATCTTTCCTCGAGCCCAGATTTAAGACCAACTACATTAGTGAGGAGAATGTCCAATTCATGAAAGACAGAGTGAAGATGGAGCAGTTGGCACTAAAGGTAAGCTGTCCTTTTTCTTCACTCTTTCAAAATAAAACAAAAAGCTGTGTTTTTTCTATATATGTTTTTGAATTATACTCTAAGACCAAGGCAACATTTCAATATCAATGTCAGTAATCACAACTGATGGCAAAACATTATGCCTCTACTGTGTGTTGCAGGAGCAGAGGGCTTGTGTCACAACCCATCCCATGCCCCTCAGTGCAGAAGAAGAACCACCATCCACCTCTACAAAGCGAAAGTGGTCACTGGGCAGCTTTTTCAAGGCGGTCCCTGCTTCCTCTACTATGCAGTTGGAGGATACCATTAAAGCAGAACTGGACAACTACCTCATAACTCCTACCATTGGTGGAGAGCAAGATCCACTGGCCTGGTGGAGAGTGCACAATGTCAACTTCCCCTGGCTTAGCAAGTTGGCTCATAAGTACCTTTGCATACCAGCAACGCATGAACCATCAGAGAGACTGTTCAGTGCCAGTGGTAATATTGTCACATGTCAGCATGCAAGTCTGAAGCCAGCAAGGGTTGACATGTTGGTTTTCCTGGCCAAAAATCTCTAAAGAGATGTAGCGATGAAGGGGAAGATTAATTGTTTGTTTCATCTTATCCTGAAATTGCTTATTTGCACTTACCCTGACATATATTTGTTCACTTTTTTACTTATCTTTTGTTTACTGACTATGTAAAATAATTTAACCATTCTGGCATCATTTGTTGTGAGGAAAATATAGGATAATTTAAACTTTAATACTATTATTGTATTGTTGTTATTTTTTACTACCTTTTATGTTTCACTTCCTCTTGCCACTTTATTTGAAGAAGCACAGGTTTCTAAGTACAGGGGTTGTATTTCTGTAACTGCTGCTTATGTTCATAAGCTAGCTCCTTTGAGCCATTTTGCACTACTTTTAAGGTAAGACTTCATTTTTGCTCAACTTTGTTGTTATATTTTATATTTTTTATGTAGCTTATGCTATTTTACAAAAATGCAATTTTTTTGATGCTGCTGAGCCATTAATGCTTTTTGTTAATAAAAAATGTAAAAGAAGCTAAAGTTTACTTAAGAAAGAGGGCTCTCATTTTATTTGACTTTTTTGGATAATATAATTTGTTTCTTAGGTGCTTGAATAAACAGTCTTACATTTGAAATATGTTGCCACCAGTTTTCATTCTTGCATTATCTTAATTGAATTCATTGGTTATATAATTAAATACAAATTAATTTATACTGAAATTTGATTTTTTTTAAAATCGTGGTTGAAATCGAAACCGCAATCTCTGCCACAAAAATCGCAATTTCAATTTTTTCTTAAATTCGTTCAGCCCTACTGGATAACAAGGAATGGTGTTCAGCCCTACAAAGAATGTTTCAATATAAAAATAAATCTTCACCAAAAGAGGGTAAACATAGCTCAACTTTTAATACAGTTCCCTCCTAACTGTTGTTGTCACGTGTTCAGCTGTCCCCTCCCTTAATGGCCAAACCCACAGAAAAAGGCTAAATGCAGACAAAAGTTTAGGGAAAAGCTGTTGATCAGACATGAAGTGCTTTGCATTACTTATCCTCTTTCTCAATGCGGTTTATGTCGCCTCTCATGGTAAGAAAGACCTTGATTGAAGCGTATATTTAACTACATGTTTCTTTATGAGAGCTAAATGCCGTTTATCTTGAGTGCTTTGATATTCATTACACTAGCATTATATGTCAGCAGTTACAAAATCCAATTTGGAAATAGGATGTACATGTAAAGGTGAAGTGTCAATTCTGCTGTATTGTTCTTTTTCAGTTCCCCATGAAATAACCTATTTTGTGGGCTGCTTTGAGAACGGCACCACTGTGGTTCAGTTTGATTTTGATGGTGAGGAAATATTGTACGTTGACCTTCAAAGAGAGGAGGTCGTATTCACCGTACCCGTCTTCATTGATCCAGATCCCATGCAGGTGTTAATAGGTTTGAGTATCCTTAAAGATGCTCTGGATAACAGGGAATGGTGTTCAGCCCTACAAAGAATGTTTCAATATAAAAATAAATCTCCACCGAAAGAGGGTAAACATAGCTCAACATTAGTTTTTTGTTTTAACAATATCGCTAAAATGTTGATGAAAATAGTCTTTGACCTTTTTTAGACCCCCCAGACACCATGATCTTCCCATCAAGAGAGATAGAACTGGAAATGGAAAACAGCCTTGTGTGCTTTGTGAATAATTTCTATCCGCCTTTAGTCAAAGTCAGCTGGACTAAAAATGGACACCCAGTCTCAGAGGGGGTGTCGGTTGGTCAATATCATCCAAATAAGGACCAAACCTTCCGCCTGTTCTCCACTTTGAGGTTCACACCGAGTGAGGGGGACATTTATTCCTGCACCGTGGAGCATCCAGCACTGGAGACTCCTAAAACAAGAATCTGGGGTAAAAAGTTATTTTAATATATCATCCTGAAAAAAAAAACACTGTAGTAGTATTTCCTAGATAATTAAAATACTCGCTTACTTTTTCTACAGAAACAGAAATCATCAAAGAGAATCAAAGTCTTGGGCCTGATATTTACTGTGGAGTCGGTCTATGTGTGGGCAGTTTGGGAATTGCAACTGGAGTATTTTTTATTGTCAAGAGTCAACATTTAAACTAATTCTCTGTTTTTAAATACAGAATACATGGTAAATTATGTAAAATATCAAAGTTTAAGATTTTATATATTAAAAATATTTGATTTCACACCTCTGTCGCAACTCCTAACATAGACGTGAAAATTCAGTACAAGATCAAGGCTGTAAGTGACACAAAAAAACGTATGCTTGGAGGAAAAGGACATTAGGCTGGAAATACAACTTGAACACTGGAGCTCAGTGAAGAAGAAGCTGAAGTTGATGAAAATGTAAATTATTGGTGTGTGAATTGGCAAGAATTTGTTAATACAATACGTATCACTATCCTGGTGTCACACAATATGTCCAGATAAATTGTGTCACAACAGTTTATCTGGATATGTGACAATGCAGTAACACACACAATATACTGGGATTTTTATAATAATAATATAGCTCAGCAAAACCTCACAAGATCCCATTGTTGCTCTGCTATGGCTGGTGCAGAGCAACACTGGGACTTGTTATATAAGACTAAGGCAAAGAAACAGAGGATTTCCTGTAACTATCCTTATATCTGAGATTGATTCCATATTTTGAATCAATATCCTCTAATAATAGATCTCTATGTTGGCATTTTGAGTCGAGGCAATAATATTCAAGAGAGATATTCTTAAATTTAACAGAATCTCTCTTTTTTTTACACACGTAATAGTAAGTACTGACATCATATCCCGACTCTGTGAAACATTTATGTCTGCTAACAGCACTCAATGCAAAACTAATTTCTAGGTTCAAAATGATTAGGTTTACATTATCAGGATCAATGCTTGGCGTGTGATTGCTTTTTTGCACAGTTTTTGAGTGGAGTTATTTCTCTAAAAGGTTACATAGCCTGGGCTGGAACACTGGCTAAATACACATCTTACCTGCCTGCCTGCCTGTCCCTTTATAAAATCAGAAATATAAAAGGCCAATAAAACCACTTGTTTCCTTTTTTCTACACTAACACTGCTTGTGAGCTCCTAACAAAATGCACAGTATGTACCCCTTCATTTGCCTCAGATAAAACCTTTAGGAATATGAATCTTAGGCTCAATCTTGTTTCTATCATGGGTTGTTTTTGATGTAGGACCAGACCTCAGCGTCATGATAAATAAGGTAGTTGAAAAGCAAACGGAAACTTAGCCAAACTGGGAACAATTTACGCAATGCATTAAATGGCAAAGGGAAGGTCAAATAAATGCAATAAACAATAATATGTTTACCATGAATGCATGGAATGTATTTATCACCTCATGTTGTAATTATCCTGTTTTGATTAGAGTTAGTCAGCCTGCCATCTCAGCTCATGTAAAACACAGCATTATTTCCAATAGATACAGGAAAATGAAAGCATATACCTCCAGTTTATGCATTCCTTTACTGCCTCTCCATTCAATTTGAAATCCATTTAAAAAACATTTTATGCTTTTAAGTTTTTTAATGCTCTTGCCTTGTCTTATTTTGTTCCTTTATCTTTATAATCCAACACTCCCTCTCTTAAATCATCCAACCAGATGCATTAAACTTTCCAGAAGACATTTTTTAATTGCCTTTTCATTTTTATTCTGCTTTTCTAATAACTTTTACCAGTTATGAATTGCTTAACATTATACAGTCCTCTGAAGGCATTTTTTTTTCTTAATTTCCCATTGACCCCTTCTTTATCTATTTATCAACCCTGCAGCACTTTATGTGAAATACCCAAACATGACACAAACATGAAAAAATGGGCAGGTGGTCAAACTTGCTTTATATGCATAGACTGGACTGGACTGTCCTGGAAGCCCTCAAACCTGAATTAGCTTGCTGAAACCTCCCCTGCATACATCAGTTTTTGCTAGGATACATGTTTAAAGAAAAAAAAAACAAACAAAAACAATAAACCATGGTTCACTTCACATTTTGAGGAAGCTGCCATAAAGTGCAAACTGTTGTAGGGGTTTTTTAGCCCTTTGGTAAAAACTGTTTGCACGGTGGTGCAGTTTGTAGCAGTGCTGCTTGGCATCACCAAAGTCCTGGGTCCTTCAATTTTGGGCCTTGGGTCTTTCCGCAAGGAGTTTGCATGTCTTCCCTGTGCATAAGTGGATTCTCTCTAGGTTCACTGTCTTCCTCCTACAGTTCAAAAACTTGGATTAGGTGAATTATTGTCTCTTAACTCCAGTTTAGTGTTTATGTATGGTTTGCCCTGAGATGGACTGATGACCTGTCAAGCTGTACCCTGTGTTTTGCCCATAAACTGCTTGAGATCAGCACCATGACAGAGGAGTGGCAGAATATGGATGGATTTTGAAAGAAGCTGTTGTTTTTAAGAGTACTCTAAAATCTGCCGAGTTTCTCTCTCAAAAAACGTCAGATATCGAGTTGGAAGTTCTTTAACACCTCCTGACATAAATACATTAGTAACTAGTTTTTAATCAGCTTTTGTTGAAAAACTGTTTGAAAAAATGTTTCTTCTGCCTCAATATGTTATTTTTAATGCTTTTATTTATTTTTTTATTATTATTATTATTTTTATACTTAAAAAAACAGATCTTGGACATAACTGTTTATAACAGTTATGAACATTAAATCTGATTACTTAGAGTTACTTGAGTAATCATTTTACCATTACTTAATAAATTTTTTGGGTGACTACTTACATTTTCTTAAGTAAAAAGAATGCCAAACTAATGCAAATCTCATTTAAGAACTCACCAAGGAAAATAACACTATGAGCCATTTTGATGAAGAAATAACATGATAACCCATTCCGTAAAAATTCAAAAAATATCCACTGGACTTGGTTTTCAAGATTTGAAGACGTTTCGCCACCCCTCCAGGAAGCTTTCTCAATTCAAATGTCTGGATCCGCAGTGAGTTTGAGTCTTATATAGACAACGCCTTGTATCGCTTGGAAACATGCAATAGAAACCGATGAATGGGTCGTTAGTTCCATCGTTAGCCTGTAATATCTGAAACTGTCTATGATTCTAGGGGTCGTCGTTAAAGGGGGGATTGTCATTAAGGGGGGGATTGTCTCCTGTAATACCTGAAACCTGTCTATGATTGTTAAGGGTTGGTCGTTAAGGAGGTATTGTTCACCGGCTGGAGCGGGTAAGTCCCTCGTTCCTCTGTGATGGGGTGGGGGGTTTGTTGATATCTGGAAGGGATCATGTCTATGATTGAATTGTATGTTTTTGGAAGCTGGAATCTCAGTCCACCACCTCTGTTTAAAGTTGGTTTTTCTCTCTTAACATAGATGGCTTCCTTCACGCCCCTCTCAAACCACCTATTTTCTTTATCCAGAATATGGACATTCTGGTCCTCAAAGGAATGTCCTTTGTCCACAAGGTGTAGGTGTACTGCGGAGTCTTGTCCAGAGGTGGCCGCTCTTCTGTGTTGGGCCATGCGTCTGTGGAGAGGTTGTTTGGTTTCTCCAATATAAAGATCAGAGCATTCCTCACTGCACTGAACAGCATATACCACTCCGCTCATATTTGGTCTGGGGGTTTTATCTTTCGGATGCACTAGCCTCTGTTTAAGGGTTTGGTTTGGCTTGAAATGTACTGGGATCTTGTGTTTGGAGAAAATCCTCTTGAGCTTTTCAGACACTCCAGCAACATAAGGGATTGTGATGTTTTTGCGTTTAATTTTAACATCGCTGTCTTCTGTTGCGTGTCTTTTGGATTTCCTTGCTGATTTGATAAAAGTTAAGGATGGCTCCAGGAGAAACCCTGGTATCGTTTGATGTTACTTCACTTTTCACATGCATACCTATAACAGAGGCAGTGGAAACAGTCAGGACACGTCTTGAACAAGATAGTGATTTAAACAACAGGACTAATTTCACTCCGGACCAGATCTGCACACTACTGGGCCTTTGTCTTTCCACAACCTATTTCAAATTCAGAGGTAATTTTTACAGACAGAAACATGGCTGTGCAATGGGATCTCCAGTATCACCAATTGTAGCAAATCTTTACATGGAAGAAATGGAAAAGAGAGCTTTAGACACTTTCAATGGAATACCACCAAGCCACTGGTTTAGATACGTGGATGACACTTTCGTCAAAATCCAGCTAGAGGAAGTGGAAGCTTTCACCAAACACATCAACGCTGTTGACCGCAACATCAAATTCACCAGAGAGGATGCCAAGGACAACAAACTACCCTTTCTGGACTGCCTGGTGAGCATGGAAGGAGATGGAAGCCTAAACATTGAAGTTTATAGGAAACCTACTCACACAGACCAGTATCTTCTTTTTGACTCACACCACCCACTGGAACACAAACTCTCAGTCATCAGAACCTTACAACACCGGGCAGAACATGTCCCCACTAAAACAGATGGGAAGCAAAAAGAACAGAAACACATCAAAGATGCTCTCCGAAACTGTGGATATCCAAACTGGGCTTTTATCAAATCAGCAAGGAAATCCAAAAGACACGCAACAGAAGACAGCGATGTTAAAATTAAACGCAAAAACATCACAATCCCTTATGTTCCTGGAGTGTCTGAAAAGCTCAAGAGGATTTTCTCCAAACACAAGATCCCAGTACATTTCAAGCCAAACCAAACCCTTAAACAGAGGCTAGTGCATCCGAAAGATAAAACCCCCAGACCAAATATGAGCGGAGTGGTATATGCTGTTCAGTGCAGTGAGGAATGCTCTGATCTTTATATTGGAGAAACCAAACAACCTCTCCACAGACGCATGGCCCAACACAGAAGAGCGGCCACCTCTGGACAAGACTCCGCAGTACACCTACACCTTGTGGACAAAGGACATTCTTTTGAGGACCAGAATGTCCATATTCTGGATAAAGAAAATAGGTGGTTTGAGAGGGGCGTGAAGGAAGCCATCTATGTTAAGAGAGAAAAACCAACTTTAAACAGAGGTGGTGGACTGAGATTCCAGCTTCCAAAAACATACAATTCAATCATAGACATGATCCCTTCCAGATATCAACAAACCCCCCACCCCATCACAGAGGAACGAGGGACTTACCCGCTCCAGCCGGTGAACAATACCTCCTTAACGACCAACCCTTAACAATCATAGACAGGTTTCAGGTATTACAGGAGACAATCCCCCCCTTAATGACAATCCCCCCTTTAACGACCGACCCCTAGAATCATAGACAGTTTCAGATATTACAGGCTAACGATGGAACTAACGACCCATTCATCGGTTTCTATTGCATGTTTCCAAGCGATACAAGGCGTTGTCTATATAAGACTCAAACTCACTGCGGATCCAGACATTTGAATTGAGAAAGCTTCCTGGAGGGGTGGCGAAACGTCTTCAAATCTTGAAAACCAAGTCCAGTGGATATTTTTTGAATTTTTACGGAATGACTATGACCTGGATGACTGAGAACCTTCATCAGCATGATAACCCATTCTGTTTCTCTTTCCATCATTGTCAGGTGTCACGATATTTGTGCGTAACACAATTATACAATACACAATTATACTCTGTGGTATACAGCTGTTACCTTTACAGACTCCCTTGAACATAGTTGATTATACATGACATACAAGTTACACTATGTCATAGGCATGAGTCCAAAAATACAAATTATCAATTTTGAATCCTTTTTATGAGATGAAAAAAAACACGAGTCATGGTTTTGTCTTAAAATGATAGGTCCGCTTGGCACAGTGGCCTAAACTATTGTGGATGCTTCAGCTGATTTGAGCTCTAATCTGCTGAAGTTTTACTAATGCCGTTTTTAAAAAGACTTTTGTGGCGATTTTTACTGATAACTTCGATTAACTAGGCAAGGCTTTTGATTTTTTTTCCTTTTCTGTATTTCAAAACAAGCATGTCAGACACAGTAACAAAAGCGATACTGGTTCCACTGGGAAAGTATTGTTTTTATTATGTTAACAATAGCACAAAAAGGTTGCTTGTAGACCTGACAATTGTGGAGATATTCTCGATTTATTTCAGTTGTGTATTTTCTGGTGGAAATTGCCTCTAAACCCCTCTCAATTAAACAGTGATTTATTTTGTGTCAGGACTGAGAACTTACACCCTGAATTTTGATTTCTAAGTTTTTATTGACTGCTTGGAAAGTCTGTGGGTCAGCAGAATCTCTGTAGAGGGGAAAACACAGGTTAGTGACCACATAAATCTGACAGAGGATGATTATGAGCATGTGAGTCACTAACCTTGTTATAAAGTTCAGTCCGAGCCCAGAGGAAGGGGTGGAATCCAGCCGGATGATTATCCACAGCACACAGAGAGTTTCAGGCTTGGAAGCCAAGAAGGCTGCTGAGCCAGTTGATGAGGAAGACCAGGACTTTCCAAATGGAGAAGCCAACACAGGTGTCAATTAGGTAGCAGAAGTGCAGGCCAGAAGATCAGAGACCTGAGGAGGTACTATAGGGAAATCCAAGCCGTGGTCAGGAGACAGATCCAAGGTCGTAGGCAGCCAGAATCCAGCAGTAGTCCAAAGACAGATCAGGCAAACAGATCAGAACGGCAGCAGGCTGGCTCAGAGGTCCAGCAGCAGACATGATCAGGCAATCAGAGTAACAAACTGGGTATGCTAGAGAGCTCTCACGTATGGCTCAAATAATCTGGCACTGATGGCTGGGACCAAAAAGTTTAAAGAGAAGCTGGAACAGGTGGATCTCATGAAAGGTAATGAAAACTGGGCAGAGCTAGGCAGGTGGATGGAATGAACCAATAATCCAGTCATCACTGCCAAGATCATGACATTTTTTACTAACTCTATTGACAGTTTCTTGAAATAAATTGAAGAATTCCTCCATTTTAAAATATTCTGTTCTTGAATATTCTTGGTTTGCTACATTGTCCTTCAAAGTTATCATTGGATTATTTTCTATTTATTTTGTTATTGTTGTATGGCATATGAGCTTAGGTGCCTTAATTGCTTCCAGTACACTTGTGACAAACACTAGTACAATAGTGATTAATACCAATAGGAAATATTATACTGCTTTTCAATGCTACTTCCTCATCCCTACATATTACTGTTATTCTATTAAACCGTGCAACATAGTCATCAGCAAGAGGCAATAAATGTTTCTTACTGAAACTACATTTGTTTAAGTGAACTATACTGGACTATTTAAGTCAATATATTACTGATATTATCTAGGGAAATTAGGTAATTTGACAGTAGCAAAAAAAAAGGTGCTTACAGATTTAGTTCTCAATCTGTTGATGTACTTCCTCATCGTTAATAATACAATAGAGAGCATTTTATCTTTCAGTCAGATCTCTGTCACTGACCTAACAGCATGGCTCAAAGCTGGTTTATTTTTCTCACACTTTTTCTGGCTTTTTCACCAGGAGGTAAGTGACTCAAGTTCAATGTAATCTTTAATTTTGTTTCTTTCAAATGAAAATGAAACCCCTCTGTAGTTTTTAGTTTTTCAGATGTAATATGGGTTTTACAAAATCTTGCATTGTCCATTTTATATATATAAAAAAAAACGTCTGTCATTTTTAGGTTGTTTCTATTTCTATATAATGGATCGTTGCCAGTTTAGTTCAGATGACGGTCATGATGCCGTTTTCCTGGAGCAATTTTACTTCAACAAAATGTTGGAAGGACAATACATCAGCACAGTGGGAGAAGCGATTGGATATACAAAAGAAACGCAAGTGTATGCCAATATTTTGAACAACAATTCCGAGTTTATTAACCATCAAATCTGGAAAACAAACCTCTGCAAAAGAAATTCTCAACTGGCGTACAAAGAATTACTAACACCAGGTAATTTACACACAAGACAGTCCTGGATAAATCCAAGCCTTTTATGTTTGGAGGTTTAAGTAGAACATAATGAATTACATTTTGCTTATTATTTGTGTCATGTGCATGTTCTTTTTATTTTTTAGTGGAGCCCTATGTTTGGCTCAGGTCGGTAAAATCAGAGTACAGCCAACACTCACACATGCTCATCTGCAGTGCGTTTGACTTCTATCCAAAGCAAATTAAGCTAACATGGCTGAGAGATGGGAAGGAAGACACATCTGATGTGACCTGCACGGACGAGCTACCCAATGGGAACTGGCTCTACCAGCTCCACACCTACCTGGAGTTTACACCCAAACCTGGAGAGCAGATCTCTTGTATGGTGGAGCATGCAAGCCTCAGGGAGCCCAAGCTTTATAACTGGGGTGAGAACGTCTGCATCAGACATATGATAGACATAGAATGGATTCTACTTTAGATACCTGTTATATGCTACTTCAAACGCAACAGAGGTTTGATCAAAGGTTATATAAAAAGTTGTATGACAGTCATGAAGTCACTTGTAGGTAGCATAAGCATGGAACTAAAAACTAAAAATGTTTTTTAAATTACTTTTTTTAAATAACTGGATTTCAGATCCAGAACCAGATTTAGGGTGGAAAAAAATTGTTGTTGGCTCCGTAGGATTGCTGCTCGGCTTGATCTTTTCAATTACTGGCTTCATCTGCTACAAGAAGAAATCAACTGGTGAGACAATGTTTCACTTTAATGTTAAAAACACTTTTTACAATGACTTCAGTATCTAAATTATAACCATGTTTAAATAAACTTCAATTGAAAATGATCAAATGTAAGACCTAAGGTTTTAGTTTTATTAGTTTGTTCTTTTTTCTTTTTTTTTTTTGTTAAATACAGAGCTGGTGCTGGTTCCCACAACAGAGGTGAGTTTTCTTTATGTCATCTAAGCACTCGTTGATATACTTGATTAATGAAATTATCTAATTTTGTTCTTTAGGAGGTGTGTCCTGAAGAAGATCTTTAGGTTACAAGATGCAGAAATGATGCAGACAACAAACCTGTTTGTTTTGCTGAACGTCTGAAAAAGTGTATATATCATTATACATTGTGTGACATGTTAGAGTTTGCACAGTTCATTCTGTTCATAATGATGTTTTCACAACCACACACATACCTATCAACTTCAAGGAACTAATATCGATCCCATATTTGAGGGATGTCAATCCCAAGAGTTTTCAATTTCATAAAATGTATTCGTTTTTCATATATTTCTGCAGACAAACACTAAAGAAAAATCCTCCATTACATTTCCACCCATTTAAGGTTGAAATACTCAGTTAAACTGAATTAGGCCCCCAAATTTAAAGAGCATTTGTCATCATCTGAAACAAATAGAGGTTGTTAAACTACCCCAAGATGTTTCGGGAGTAAGAGTAGAACTTTGCTTGAAAAGGAGTTCAATCTATACTTTTACTTTTACCAGTTTGTACCAGTAATATCAGTTCTTTTGAAACTTAAATAGTAATTATACAATTTTAAGAATATTGCTTATGTAAAATAAAAAACTACAGTAAAACATTTTTACGCCATCTGCTGGACAAGATGTAAAGATGCAAAATGGAAAATAAAAGAACTAATTAAACTGATCTATTAGGAAACCATTGATGCCTTTGCTGTTAGGACGTCAAGAGGAGTTAAGTTTTGAACAACGTTGAGAACGTTAGTGAGGTTTTGATGTTTTCGTGTCTCATCGTGGAAATATTCCACAATCTTTTCTAACTTAGTTAAAACCTAGAAAGAAGGTGCAATAATGTGATATCTTAGTGCTCCTCTATTTTATAAGGTTACTTTGATTGCATATGATTGATTGATTGCATTTTTAAGTTATATTTACATTAACCAAAATGTAAAGTAGAAATTTCTTTACAATAACACTGATATTTTTGAGTTTTGCTTTTGATTGCACACTTCTATGCTAGACTCGACACTTAACCCCCATGGCATTTAAAAAACATTTGTTTAATGTAATTAGTTATTCTCAGGGTACTCATCTTTCAAGTTTACAATTATTCTTTTTGGCTTTTTCCTTTCAAATTTATTGGGTTAACCTTGATATTACAGTTTTTCTTTTGATTATACAGCTTTATATTGCTTTTGATTTTGTACCCTTTGCACACAGTTTTAGGTTGTTACTTAATGTAATATTGTAATTCTATCCCTCAAACATATATTTATTCTTCCTGTTATTGCCTTTAAAAAGCTTTTGTTTCAACATTTCAAATAAAAAATCAATAATTATGCAATAACTGTGGAGTTGCTTTTTGGGAGTTTGAGCGCCCACTCAATGGGAGGGGGCGCCAAGACGCCACTCTTGCCTTGGGCACCAAAGAACCTAAAGCCCTGCATCCCAGTAATTATTTTCTAAATGTTACTTAAGTAAATTTGGCTGAGTAAATATAAACTAGTTACTATCCATATGTGTAAATACTTAATTGTTAATCTTCCTTGTTTTGTTTAGATTCAGGATTGTATACATTTTTCCACATAAAGAGGCTCCCTGTTCTTGTTTCTTGTCCATCTTCAATATGCAAAGCAACTGCAGAGTCAATGAAGAGTCAAAGAAGTGCAAATGAAAAGGAATAGTGAGAGTATCATCCCCTGGGATGCTCCTTTTGGTTCTGTTAGACAAATTACATAAAATATCTAGAGCCAAACTCAATGTAAACTTTTTCAAACTGTGTGATTCTTAAGAGGTGTTAACTCTATGCTGTTTTATTATACAGAGACCACAAAATGCCTCAAAACCAGTGCTGCAACAGTTTACAGCTTCTGCATCTAAACTAATATCCTTGAAACATGCTGCATGCTAAGGTTAAATGTAACTAGTATAACTTTAGTTATGTAAAGCAAATCCAATGATGCAGTATTTTTTTGAAACTATTGTGGTCACATGTTCCACTGTAAAATCCCGTAATGTCACCGCCTATAAAAGAAGGTGTGTCATCTTCCTGGTCTATTTCAGTCACCACCTGAAGCTCAGACATGAGGTTCTCTGCTCTCCTTATTCTCATTCTCAACACCTACTGCATCTTCTCTCAAAGTAAGAATCTCTTAACTGCATTTTTGTTGGAATAAAGGTCAACATTTGTTTTAAAAATACAACAGCCTTACTTAGCAGAGTTAAGAAACAAAAGCAGAATTAGGGAATAATTGTAAAAGTTTTCTCACAGAGGAACAAGTGTTTCATTGCACTGTGTTGTTTTTCAGTTCCCCATGAAGCAACCTATTTTGTGGGCTGCTTTGAGAACGGCACTTCTGCAGTACAGTATGATTTTGACGAAGAAGAAGTTTTATATGTTGATTTTCCCAGGAAAGAGATTGTGTTTACTGTGCCAAACTTCATCAATGCTCATCCAGATCAGCTGCTAGGAAGGTTTAGTATCCTTAAAGATGCTCTAAACAACGAAAAAATGTGTCAACCCGCAATGAAGTTGATTAAAAGTGAAGTTAAACCTTCATCTGAAGAAAAGGGTAAATACAAGTCAGCATTTATTTTCTGTTTTGAAATCATCAATAACATGGTAAGGCAACTTTTTGTTATGCTCTTTAGACCCTCCAGACCACATGATATTCCCTTCAAGAGAGGTAGAACCTGAAGAAGAAAACACCCTCATCTGCTTTGTGAATTATTTCTACCCACCTACTGTCAAAGTCAGCTGGACTAAAAATGGCCTCCCAGCTACAAAGGGGGTGTGGATCAGTGAATACTCTCCCAATAACGACCAAACCTTCCGAATGTTCTCAACACTGAAGTTCACACCCAGAAAAGGGGACATTTACTCCTGCACTGTAGAGCATCCTGCATTGGAGACTCCGAAAACAAGAATCTTGGGTAAAATGTTCATTTTTTTAATGCAATATTTTAAAACTAAACTCAGAATACTGGAATATACCAAAAGGTGATTTTTAATCTTTGGAACTTTCTCTTACAGAAATTGAATTCAACAAAGCAGATCCAAGTCTTTGGCCAGTTGTTTACTGTGGAGTCGGTGTGGCTCTTGGCATTTTGGGAATCACTGTGGGAGTGTTTTTTATTGTCAAGGCACAACATTTAAACTAATCTTGTTTATGTTAAATACTGTCAACACTGATGGTAGTGTAAGTAATGCATTAGTTACATATTAAAGTTGTTGAATAAATTTTTGCAATCCACATCACCTTTAAGCTCCATAGAGTATTTCTTTTTTACTTCTTGGCTTTAGCAAAAAGGTAAAGCCCTGTATATTGGTGGTGCACTGCTAAAATATTCTATTGGTAATTTATCAGTAAAACATTTAAAAGATATTAACAAACTTTTTGTCATGTGGTACACTCTATGTGCTGTATGATCTATATTTTTGTAGATTAAAAAGACAACATCATTATGGGTTTTTTTTCTTGTTTTTGTGTTAGCTAATAAACTGAACATTCAATCTTTAAAAAATCTGAGTTGTTTGACCTTTGCTGCTCACTGTAGATCTGAAATATTAAAAAAAGAGTCTTGCATGTCTTCCTTATGAATCATATTAAGTTGTGTTGCTCTTAGTTATTTAAACAATTGCGTTTGACAAAGTGCGGATACCAAATTTGAATCTATTTATGCAACCACTAAAAAATAGCTTAACTTTTTAATGCAAGGTGATGGAACATGCCATTATGCATGAAATATGCTGTAAGTTATACGCATAATTTACATAACAGAAATGCATAAAAAACAGATCTGAAAAATAGATTCAAGAGTAGAATCAACAGGTTGTTGTTGCTTGTTGAGAGTTTTTATCCTACTTTATTTTGTCAGTTTGTGTTTTCTTTGAAACATTTTTATGTTACATAAAGTCAAAACAGAACAAATGTTTCAAATACCTGTCCACCTTGCTGTAAATGTTAAGATAATTAGTGATTTTGCAACTAACTTCTTGTTATATTGGGACTTTTTCTGTAAGCTGATTCTTTGGTGAGGGATCGTAGCAATTACATTTTTTTCCCAATAGTTACATATCCACTTCTCAGCACCATACAGCAGGCACTAATTCCATGGCGGTGACAGAAGCCGGTTTTGGTCAGGGCAGCTGCCACTCCTTGTTACTGAATCTGCTACTTTACTTCCTCATTTTTGTTAATAAAGCTCTTTTACCAGCGAGCCACAGTCTTAGTCAGATGTATTTTCTCAGCTGACAGCATGCATTTGAAAAACGTCTTCATTTTCCTGCAACTTTGGTTTTCAGCAGAAGGTAGGAGGATTCAGGCCAACAAAATCTTTAAAAATAGAGCTGCTTAAATAGATGCGCATTAACGTTGATTTAAAGTAAATGTATTCCTTAAATTAAAATTTTCCCTATTGATAATTATGTTTTTTATGTCTTTAGGTGCTTATTACGGCTATTATTTAGGCCACTGCCAGTTTAACTTTCATGATAGTCAAGGGGTTGTGTTCTTGGAGCAGTTGTTTTTCAACAAGTGTCTACTGGTCCAATATAACAGCACTTTGGGAAAAGTTGTGGGATACACAAAGGAGGGAATCATTTTTGCAGACATTCTCAACAAGAACCCAAGATTCCAAAAACATCAAATATGGAAAACAAACCGTTGCAATGATATTGCACATCTGTTATATGGAAATCTATCCACAGGTAAGTTTCATATAATGTGTAAATGTTTTTGGGCAAAGATTTAGATCAATTTATCTATATCTAATATTAATATGCATGCAGATATTTTAAACCTATGCAATAATATGAATGTTAGCTATTTTATGATGTAAGATGAGTCTTATCTTGTCTCTCCTAGTGGAGCCCTACGTAACGCTGAGCTCAGTGAAAGCGGAGTACAGTCAACACCAACTCATGCTCATCTGCAGCATTTACGACTTCTATCCAAAGAAAATCAAGGTAACATGGCTTAGAGACGGAAAGGAGATCACATCTGATGTGACGTCCACTGATGAGCTACCGAATGGGAACTGGCTTTACCAATATCACTCCAACCTGGAATTTACACCCAAACCTGGAGAGAAGATCAGCTGCATGGTGGAGCATGCAAGCCTCAGAGAGCCAAAGATTTATAATTGGGGTAGGAAAGTGTGCATGAGAACAGAGGAAACATTTCCCCTTTTTTGCACCCAGTTTGTTGATGGATTTTCACATGTAATGCATAGAGGAAATTCTCTTACTTCCTATTAGAATAACCAGTAATGCAACATACACAGAGTACCTAACCAAGAGGATAATTTGTAGAACTTTACCGGGAAACTACTGAATTTAACTTTGAAACTGCAGTAAGAGCTGACAGGGAACAACAAGGTTATACCAGTCATGTGATTGTGGTCCACAGTTTAGTGGAATGAGTGGATCTTTTCTGGCATTCCTGTCTGTTTTTATGACTGGTCCTATTTGAATTGTTATTCTACCCTTAACACTGAGTGGTTAATGCAAAGAACCCCTAGTGAATGGTATTTTGTAAACCTTATTCCTCAATACAAACAGTATTTTTACTGTATACAATGGGACTCTTCCTTGGAGAGGTGGGAACAAAGAAGGTACTAGGGTGATCAAAAGTTTAATAATGTCTCATGAGGTTCATCAATCCTATACTAAGTTGAGAACCATACATAAGTGTGAATTTGAAGACTCTATAAAGAATGTATGGATTTATAGAGATCCATCCATCCTTCTTCTCCCGCTTATTCCGCTGCCTATCTCTGGCAGTCTGTGGGCGAGTGGCGTGTTAAACTCTGGAGGCAATTTAGGGAGATAATAATGATGAAATTCATAATAATCAGTCCTTGTACAGTCTAAGGACATTATCTTCTACTTACTGTACTACATACACTTATGAGTTGAACTTTCCTAAATCCTCAATGCATTTCTTAAGTGAGAAAACCGTATTGTTTTCTCTTCTATCTTCAACATTGCCTCTCCAGAAAATCTTCCTCTTTTTCTAATTCATGATTGTTATATTTTACTAAAGATGTCTCTTTCACCTCTCCTTTCTAAGCTGACTTATAGGTTTACAAACAGAACTGCTTCCAGTTAATGTTCATGTTGTCAAGAAAAAAACACTTCTCTCTATAGGCGATTCATCTCATGAAAATGCATAGATTAGAATTACCTTCATTATAAATGCATAACATGGGCTGAGAAGTGGTTCTTTAGTGTTGTAGTATAAGAGCAAGAAAATAAGGTATGCGCTCGAACTGTGTGAGTGTCACTTAAATATATACACAAACATTTTTAACTTATTTTTAAAGATGCCTATTTGTTACTGCATAAGCTAGAATGCCTGTTGTGAAGAATTTATGCAAACTAAAATGCAGTTTGAGGATAAAAAATGGATGCAGGTTTTTAATAACATTTGATCACAGTAGATTTGTGGTTTAAGTCATGTTAAACCTCTGGGTAGATTGATAGTTATGGTATTAGGAACTAATCAACTGTGCGTAAAGCCCTGTATTTAACTTTTACAATACATTTTTTTCGTCCCTGTCTTTTTACCTTGGTTAGACCACCTGCTAATACTTGCATTGCTGCAAAAAAAGCCAGTTTGGTCTTGAAAATGTGTTAGTAAAATACATTAAAAGGTTTGAGGACTTTGTCTTGACATTAATGTAAAGCTTTGTATTAGTTGAAATTGGATAGAAGTAAAATAAATTTGTTTTTATTTACCATGTTTTTCACATTAAACTTGTATTGACTTTGCTTTAATCTTTTGTTTGTACTAACAGTTCTTTTCTATTTTGGGCTGACTTTTTGCATGAATATAGAGCAATACCTAATTGAAGTCTAACATTATCTTGATGATCAATATGTTTGCAGAGCCAGAACATCATTCTGACAAGAAGGAGCTGGTTATAGGTACAGCAGGGCTGCTGATTGGCTTGTTGTTTTCAGTCGCTGGGTTCCTCTATTACAGGAGGACAGTCATTGGTGAGACATAGGCTCAAAATAATGGAAATACTATCATTTTAAAAATCTATTTTTCGTAGCATTTAAATTGTGGTACCTCAACATTCAATCTGATTGATTTCCTTCTGTTTCTAATGGCAGTGCGGGAAAGAGTGTCAACAACTGAGGTATGGAATTATATTCAGCAAAGGTTTCCTCTGCTTTATCTTAATCATTTGTTGAAGCATTTATCTAACACTGTGAATAATATTTTCTACAGGATATTTATCCAGAAAACAACCTCTAGTTTTGCTGGGGGTGTATCAGGGAGAAGAGACGATGAGCTTCCCTCACCATGCATCAATGAACTGTTGGATAATGAGCCTAACCCCAAGTTATCTCCCAGTCTGTTTATTAGTACGGTATGTTAATGTCTGAGTGAAAAGAAGTGAATGAGTCTTGCAGCATGACACTGCTGTTTTTTTTTTTTGTTTGTTTGTTTTTTCTATGAATCAATAACACAGCTGGAAAAGTTACCCAAGCAGGATTCTACACAGTTTTTATATTAAAATCTATACTCTAAATTTCTACATTTTTCTTGGAAGTTTCTGCAGTATTCTGGAAAATACAGTGCAGTTTAAACTATTGGTCTTTATTCCCATTAACAGTAGCTGGGTCTCATCCTCTGATGTTTTTGCATCTAAACTAAAGTAAATCTGCTCTATTCCAAAATATGAAGCTTTTTTACTTGTTAGGAGGTAAGAAGACTAGTAAGGAACACTGGATACAGACTTACAGCACAATTGGTTAACACTGCTAAAAAAATAAAACAACTAAACATTTGCATTTTAGAGCTTTTGTTCTGCATTTTGAATGGCCCTATGTAAGAGCAAAAACTTGTGCCAAGTCCCATTTTTTGCTTTAATTTATCATGCATTAAACTGAAGTAGTAATGTGCATCACAAATCACAGTACAATTCTAATACAATTCATTGCATTTATTAAGTATGACTAGATTTTTTTTTTCATTTTATAGAAAGGAAAAAAGGTTAAAAGGTGAGCAAAGTGTCATTTTTATTTATTTTACATACGTCTTCGTTACTAAAACTGCATTGGAATCCAGCTTAAAAATGTTTTAATGTAATAAAAAGCTGTTAATATCTTTATTTTTTTTTATGTATGCATATCAATAGGTGTGTAAATTGTTTAAATACAAATTGAAAATGCATGTTATATAGAAATGTTAGAACAGGATTTGTCGAACACTATTTTTATGTAATATATAAACTAAATTTGATTTTTGTCAAAACTAATGCCAAATTCTGTTTTTAACCCGGATATGAGAGTTAATAAAAATTTTGTCCGATAGAAAAATAAAAAAGATTATTTTGTTCCATTTCCATTTTGCAGTGTTTTTCTTCTATTAGAACCTTCTATTTGTAAACGTTTGGTTGGTTAAGGACCGAAATGCAGAGATGAGTGAGGCAGAGATGATTTGTTGTAGGTGTAATAAAGAAAAACTGAGGCAAAAATACATAAATACTGAGAACAAAAAACCCGCAAACATTACGGAAACTCATGTGGGGAACCAGAGACGAGGAAGCAACAAACAACAGGGAACCAACACTGATGAGCTACACAGGGAGAGTATATATGGGAGACAGAACAAAGACTAGAGTAATAAGCTGATATGGAGCAGGTATGGATGGAAGAGACTAAGAGGGAGTCAGGGGAAAGGAGACAGGCACAAGGGGGCAACAGAGTAACAAAAGACTGCTTAAATATAACATAATATGTAAAATAAACCAAAGATCAACAAAACAGAATTACTGATAACTGAAAACTCAAAGTCCCAAAAGTTGGGAACCATAACACTATTGGGCTTATGCATAAACAGGGAAGCATATATCAAAGTGTGTTTAATTGCTCCACATTTTAACATTTTTCTTTAGTGAAGCACATGGCTTAAATATGAACATGTGAATAATGATTTGATGCCTGCTGAGGAATTTTCCAGATGAAACCGGTTATACCAGATGTATGTCTAATAAACGTAACATTGAATTTATACTCACAGCAGGAAAATAACGTCTATAGTGAGGCAGGGCACTGGCATGATGTGATGTAAACAGAAATCTGAATTTACTGAGAACCTTTATTATACTAGTGTTTTCCCAGACAAATGTAAGATGTACCAATGTGCTAAAATGTTTAGGCATGAAATGCTTGGGCCTATTGTTACATGTCAAGAGGCTAGGCACACCCAGGTTAAATCCCCAGTTTATCACATGATGATAAAAAAAATACCTACCTATGAAAGCTTACCTCTGTCACATGAACCATGGTGAGCTATGGAACAAAAGGAGGAAGCTGGCAGGGCCAGAAAAAGACTGCGAACAAATGTAAAAAAAAAAAAAAAAAAAAAATTACTACACTGTCAAGATTTCAACCAGAGATCTGGAAATGAGACAACAATAATGTGAACAAATATGCATTTAGACCCAGAGATTTACTTAAAAAAAAAAAAGTCATCAAACAATGTTTTATCTACCCTAACCAAAAATATGCATACTTGAAGTTCATGTTTTTAGATTTACAAGAGTACATATCCAGGTTCATTGATACAAGTACCGTATACTAAAAGTTTGATAAAAATGTATATCTAAGGATTAAATTGGCTTACTTTAAAGTGTAACTCACCCCTTGTGAAATCATAACCCTGTGACCATATAAAATTTGAAAACTGCCACCAAAACTTTTGGTGACAAGAGACCCCGGGGGTTCAACTTATTGTGAGAATGAGAGCCGTGGATTAACGAAGGTGTGGCCAGAATGAGGCAAAGTGCAGGTGTCTTAGCATAGCGTCGACATATTGAAGCATGGACAGTGGGCAGGGGGGCTCTGTTACAACACTCATACCACTCATATTTGAGGTGAAGCATTTTTCATTCCCCTCAATGATGGGCTGGAGTCTAATCAGTTGAAGCCATTTCCTTCAAAGCACTCACCCTAAATTGGTGTTGATGAGGACACAGAGGACTAAATGACCCTATATGGAGGCTAATATTAGGGAGCCCTAAATTCCTTTTATACATACACACACCTTGAATGTATACAGTACATATGTATATACCAGTATTCAAAAATGTATTTATATAACTTTATTTATTTACTTTTTCACTCATCCCTTTGCCCCCACCCCCGATATAACACCGCCCCTAACTTGCATAAAGGAGAGTAGCAGGAAAGAGGGGTAAAATATTATTGTTTCTTAGCCAAAACAGGAGACTTGTCAGCTGCACACATCCTCAGCAAGTCAGCATCTGAAATCCCCCATTTGTAAGGGTTAGATTAATACCTCCTACGCCTCATTATGTCCACTAACCTTACATGCAAAGAGGAATTGGGACATTACAACCATCAAAATTTAGGGGTATTGCTGAAATGTAGGGCTAGGGGGTATGTTGGGAGAGAGAGCCACAAAGCAAAGGTTTCACACTCCTGATCTACAGTCAAAAACTGTAATTCCATCTTATTAAAGCTGAAGTCCAAAGGTAACTTTTATTTCTAAATATTTCTTACAGTAAATAGTCTAATCACCATACTAAATTTTTCCAAGGGACAAATTAGTAATAGTATCTTCTGCCTTTGCAGCTCATCATAAGTGATTAATTTAGAGTTACACAGCAAAACTGATCTGAAACAGGAAAAAATATTCTTACAATAAGTGTATTTAACCTTAATTTGAGCAGTTAAATAAGCTGATCTACCAAAGGAATGTGTATTTCTGCTCTTAAAATAATATCAATAAAAAATATGCATTTGAAAATAAGTAATGGAAATGGGTTGCTGTCATATTTTGAATATGAATCCTATTATTCCATATAGATCAAGGAAAAATGCACATGATTACTGTAAAAAAAACTGAAACTCTTATATTCAATTTGTTGTGTGTTTTTTTTTATACAAGGGCAAGGACCAGTGCTACAGGGGCCTGGACCCCTTTGAACCCTGTTTAGAACCGCCTTTGTTACAGATATTGCTTTCTAGTCTAACAAAAATAGCTAAATATATAAAAACATAGTTCTACAAATAATATTCTCAATGTTTAAAAACTTGAACCTAAATGCTTGTCAATGTTCTTACAGAAGGAAAACATTGCCTGCAAGACTGTACCCAGGGTTAAAAACCCTTCCCTCTGGTTGCTGCGAATTTAGGCGCTCCAAAAACAATGAGCCGCTTTGCTTTTTATTTCCTTTTTCTCTTCTTGTCGGTAAAAAGCCCGAGTGTGATTTTATTCATCTGCTTTGTCATTTATGTTTACGTTCATTACAGGACGCGATAGAGAAGGAAAAAAGCAGCGTGGCTGAATGAGATCAGACCTATGGGGATGATGTAGGCGGTTTCTCTCATCAGCCGCTCATCTGTTTACAAACACGTCAAAGGCCTGTCGCCCTTGTCTCTACGGCTATTAAAAGGCGTCAAATCAAAGTGATGGACTGTGCTGTTCCCATCCCGGAGGACGACACCAGAAAACCAGGTCAGACGGGGGTGATACCTTACCGGGCAGCGATAAGAGCCATTGGATGGTTGATAAGAGATCCTAATAAAGCAGAGAAACTCTGCTGTTCGCTACAGTCCATCCTAACCTCACACAGACAGGTGAGATATCTACTTATTAAATATGTAATTATTTCTTTTACTTTAACAAATAAAACGCTATGGATGTATAGCTATTTTATTCTAGAGAAGCTTTATGCAATTACGTAATAATTAAGTGATGTTTTTTATTTATCAGGAATCTTTGTTTAATCTTGACTTAATTTATACAATAATGCCCCACAGAGAGCGGATAATTTACTTATAGACGCTAATTTGATCTTAATATATACAACTGCTGGATTAATTAATGTGTGCGTCTTAAAAATGTATAATTGTAGCTATTATGATCATGGGAGCTAGGTGGGGGGCCATGGCCACCCTTAGCCAATCATTGACCACCCCTACCATTTTTTTCCCCTTTAATACAGATGGTGTCAGCAGTAATACTCTCAAGTGAAATATTCAAAACATTTTATTGTTTTTGTGGTTAATTATACACATCAATACTGTATACTAATATCAAAGATGATAAGTACAGAATTCATGCTCTTTTCAGAATTAGATTTTGTCTTATATGGGGTAAAGAGAAAATTATGTGTCTCTGCAAGTCATCAAGGAGTCTTCAGTGAAATCAAAGATAAATAACAATTTTTATAAACACTTATCAAATAATTTATTTTTGTAGATATTAGTGCTTGTAAATATACATTTTATGCAGAATGTTTATTGATACAAGTAGGTAAGTAATGACAAAGGAAAAGATTTACACCCAGGAACTCAAAATTTAGTTTTATCCACTATACCTATTATCTAGAAATTACGGATGTTTAAATATATAGAATATATGCATCTATTTATTAGCAAAGGCTGCAGGAAAGTATAGTTTGTCTTTAGTTAGAAAATATGGATGTTTTGCTCGTTAATTTTCCTGTTGGAACAGTGTATATTAACCCTGAGGTTCTGGTGCCTATCCGCTTTCGGCCATCCCTCAGTGTACATTGGTTATTGCCTGGCCACCCTACGTCTCTGAGAGAAACATCCTATATATTTTTCCCTGTGAGACTTGATCTAGTGCAGACAAATGCGCAAAAAAGAAAAGAAATGCAACTTTTTTTTAAGAACCATAATTTTATTATATCATAGAAAAAGACATGATCCAAAAACAGATGATTTAAAAAAAAAACTTTAATCTCTTGTGAGAAAAAAAAAAAAAACGGTACCCCAAATATTCCCGTTAAATAAATGTTGCTTACTTTAAACTTTATTTTGATGTTAATGATATCTTATTGGGACCTCTAAATAGTAATCCACGAGTCCTTTTCAAAAGGCAAAATATAGATGACAAATATCAAGGCCCATTTCTTTTAACTACTGGTCCAAATAGGAGCATCTGGAGATTATGGCTTGTTATGGCTTGCCTTCTAAGAACCAATCAAAATTTATGAAAAAAAAAAAAAATCCTCTCCAGTATGGGATGCTTAGATTGGCAGCAGATAGTTTGCAACGCTTCAACACAAATTCAGAGAGAAATACTCTTCCTTGGTGCTTCAATCTCAATAAGTGAATTTTGCTAAACTTTACTTGTACATCAACACTTCGTCTTCCAAGTTACCATCTTTGCTAACTTGGACATAAAAACCATTGTGCAGAAAAATGGCCAAAATCATGAGATCAGATTTGCTCTGCAGGGTCTGCAAGGTCCACCTCTGTCATAAAAATGAGTCTATTACTTAATAAAGTTATTAAACTAACAAAAATAGTTACACACAATACTAATACTAATAAAAATATCAATAAATCAAGTTTCAATATCAGCAGATTCTCTAATGGTTATGTTTCTTTCTTTGCACAAGCGTTTTTCCAAAAATGTATTATAAGAGCACCATATTAGGGCTAGTGATTATTTTTGATAATTAAATTGACTTTTTTTCTATCATTACAAAAGTGCTAGTCTTGTTCTGTACTCCAATAACACTCTTGAGTTAGAATTTTAAATTATGGGTTAACAAAGGACAACTGATTAATATGGTGAAGTATATGTGATGCTGTTTGCATGTTAGTCTTCTAATGCTTCTGTTATAAGATATCAGCATTACAGCAGTTAAGTAAAAATAGGTCAACCTTAGGATAGGAAACCTCATTTTAAATCAGAAATGATTAGGACGCAATCATCCTTATATAATCTTCTCAGTCCTCACACCTAAATCTGGAATAATTCAATAATAACAATTGCATTCAAATCAGAGTCACCATTAAAACAAAGATTTACAAATTGTAAGAATATTAACTTTACAAAAATCAAATTGCCATTTGTCTTAGGCAGTTTAGACTATCTTTGTAATGATTATAATTGTTTATGTTTGTGTTTATTTCCGGGTTTTTATGATCACAAGCTGTTGACCTACATGCTATTTATAACTCATGGTCAAAAATGTTAACCTTGTACTGTTTTCTTTTCTAATAAAAAATTTTTCTTCCCCCTTTCTGCATCCCCCACAGTTCTTCTTTGATTTACCCTTCTTTGCATCCTAATGGGTCTCATCCTTTCTACCTGGCCGAGGGGCCGAGTAGATGACGATGTCCCCCCATCTACAACAGTTTTCCCTCTGCTGGCTGTACCGACCTCATCCAGACTCACACTCACTCTGAGCTCCTCTGCAGTGTCTGTAGGAGACAGACGCTCACAGTGGAGCTCGCAGCACTGCTCACCGCACTTCCACCTTTCTCCCTGCAGGCAGAAAGCAACTCGCTCACCTGTTGAGCTCAGCAGTGATGCAGTCAGGGCTGAGATTGGAGTGAAAGGTGGGCTCCATGTTTGGGAGGTATCTTGGAACCCTGATCACAGAGGAAGTCATGCGGTCATAGGAATTTCAAGGCAGGACTCTCCTCTGCATGGCTCAGGTTATAAAGTACTGATAGGTGGAGATTCCCTGTCATGGGGATGGGAACTAAAAACCAATCAGCTGTGGCATGGTGGAAAACCTTTGGATTGTTATCCATGTGAAAAAAATATGTTTTACTCTCAGGCTACACAAGACTTTGGACGCAAATCCTCAAACTCACGGCACAGGAAAGAGTCAGAAACACCTTTAGTTATTCCTGAGCGTGTCCAGCTGGTCCTGGATGCTGATGCCGGGACTCTGGGTTTTGCTGTCAATGGAAGTTTCCTTGGTGTTGCATTTAGGGACCTTCCTGCAGGAGTGGAACTGTTCCCGGCAGTAAGCAGCGTTAGGGGTGGAGCAAGGATTGAATTACGCTATCTGAATGGGACCACACGTAAGTGCAGCTAGCATGAATTAAATTGATATACAGAGTCTAATACTAACATATTTGATGCTTCTAAATTTGCAGGTAACCCTCCTGCCCTGATGGCTCTTTGTGGACTATCAATTATTCAGAATTTAGGGGAACAAAGGTTGAACCAAGTGGACAAACTGCCTCTTCCACCTTTACTCCACCGTTACCTGCTTTTTTGTTTCTAATTCCATTGCACATTCACATGCAATTAATAATTAAATAATTATAAAATACATTTTGGGTAAAGGCCCCATACGAGCCCTATAGGGACTCACTCCCTCAGCTGCAAATAATAATGTAATAAATTTAAATGCAAGTTTTGATTAACCAATCTTTAATATAGAAATATTTTTCATCACCTTAGATCTATCTTTTATATTAGGATTTTATTTTAATTTTTTTTATGATAGAGCTTCAGAACAAAACACAGATTCTAACAGCTGCTGCTGCTATAAGGCAGACACTGCAACATTCTGTTAGGGTGAAGAGAGTGCCGAGCCAAAAGGCAAAGCTCTCAATTTACCATCTACCTACCATTACCTATAGTCAAGGAATCTGGGCCATGACTGAAAGAATGAGATCCTTCGTACAAGAGGCTGAAATGCTAGGATGACGATCTCAGCCTGAGGAGAGGCTTGGAGTAGAGCTGCTTCTCCTTTACATCAAGACGAGTCAGCTGAGGTGTATCGGACATCTGCTCCAGATGCCATCTGGATGCCTCTGGAGGTGTTCCAGACATGTCCCACCTGGAGGATGTCCAGTGGATGAGGCAAGAGACTCTGGAGGGACTTCAGACAGGCTGCAAATATTTTTAAACCTATCAATTGTTGAAGTGGACTTGAATAAAAGGAGCTAAAAAAGAAAATACTTTTAATCTCCAATCTAGTTCTTTGGTTGTGATACATTTGTGTTCTGTAAATACAAATTTTTCAGTCAAAATAAAGAGAAAGAAATTGTAAAACTGCTTTTGATTGATCATTGTACCTCATATCATGATGATTCAAGTGGAAAATAAGTAATTTATTTTTCCCTCAATTCTTTGTTTTTTTTTGTTTTTTTATCTGTTTCAATGATTTTGACATCAGATTTTGACATAGGGTGAAGAATCATTTTGGCCCACATGCAGAGAGATTCTCATAAGATAGGACCCATTTGATCAATGTTTTTGAATGAAGAAGTTTTGTGAGTGGTTCACAACATGGAGATTGCTCTCTGCAGGGAGAGTATAAGTTAGATAATAGTTTGAGATTGTGAATATTAGACATTATTGACAGATTTTATTTTTAATCTTAGTCCAGTTGGGAGGCTTCTCCAGAGGAGTAAGATTCACACTGCCTGACAGACAGGCAGATAATGGAGAATGGGACAGATCCTGTTTTAGATGATGGGAAAACAAAATGGAATGTAGGGATAGCTTTGAGAGAGAGAGAAAGGTCTTGATATAATAGAAGGAGCTCCCGGGCTACAAAAGAGGGAAACACAAAAAAATAAACATGCAAACACTGAGGAAAAAACACCCAGATTTTGAGACAGCTAGAGGTACTACCGGTACTTGTGTAACACTCGGGTGAGGAATGACAAATTTATTCACCTCAGCAGGTGATCCAGATAACCAGGGTCGGGTGTGCTGCACTAATCAGCTAAGAAAAGCCCTTCATATAGCTGTAGCACAAAACAAACAAACAAACAAAAAAAAAATCACACAAATATACACACATATAAAGCATGACATATTGAGATTTTGTCTTGTACTTTGACCAAAATGTGGACATAGGATCCTGATGAACTGCATCATTTAATAGGAAATCCAAAAACTTGTAGCTAAAGTACAGTAAAAAAAAAAAATAAATAAATAAAAACATGGATGTTAGCAGGAAAGACATGAATATGAGGATATCAGGGCCTAAAGAGAAGGGGAAACAGGTGGGCAGCATGTGTGCGCTGAACAGGCGACAAGAAGACTGAATGACTTTGTTGATCAGCTGGTGGCTATGAGGGAAGGTGAAAAACTAAATAAACAAGAATGGAGCTAAAAAAAACTGCGAAACACGATCTAAACACAGAGACATTACAAGAAAAAAATTATAAAGGAAATAGGAAAAATAAAATAAAGAAACTTAAAGACGAACCTCATAAAGAAAAACCCTAAACAATAATAAACAATAGGTTCTGAAGTTGTAATGGAGGGCTTGGCTTAAATAAATGCACCTAGCATTGAAAATAGTAAAAAGCAAAGTCCCAAATATGGATAACAAATTTCCTCCCAAGAAAAATTATCCCTAACGTAAGCAGTAAACGTTTTTCATAGAAATTTCAAAATGTATAGCAAAGCATCTCTGATTAGCATAGATAAATCTAGTGCATGGTCTACCATCTAAAATGTTTTATATGTAGAACTTGAGCTTACAATAAGGTGTTTGTTTCTTTATTTCACCATATTATATTGCCATATAAGCATATTTTTTTCTTAGAAAGCAGTCTACCCGTTTGACCATAACCTCAATACATATATAAAGAATTTTTTGTGTCTAAATATTTATTTAATCATAAGTAAGCATCGTTGTTAAGATTAAACATTCTGTACATTTAGTTTGTAAATTTGCTGAAAACAGCAGCACTAACTGCTCTAAAACTAACAAACCGTTTTCCGGTAGGGGATGACGTGACGTCGTTGCCATGGCAATAAAATTAGCCAAAGCTTTAGCAGAGAACTGCGCACAGTAAACTTGGGTTATCAGAAATAAAAACTTCGTTCTTAAAGAAATAATACATTAGGAAGATTATAAGTTGAAGGTTCTATTACTTAAGGAGCCAATTAGGTACGTAAGTAAACTTCGTGTGGGGAAAAAAAAAATTTTGTCCAAGTTAAAATAAGCTAGCTTATGTCTTTAACTAGCTTAATATATTCGTAGGCGATGGCTCTTAATTGATAGAGATAAAGGGCTATTTGGAAGATTTTTCTTCTTTATTGTCACAGAATGAAATTAATAAAAGTTTACAAACTCTTTTAATGTAATAGCGGGGGAGGTCTGGTTGTCTAATTCATAACTAAAGTTGACTTTCAAAATGGCTTTAAAATAACCCCTTTTTATTTTGAATTAATTGTTTTCATAGATCACATAGTGTTTGAAAAAATGTATTTAGTGCTAAATAAACAGATTTGGTCATCTTAATACATTTAATTAATTCTAAAAGGGACACAACAATAGACAGCAGTCATAAAAAATTGGGATAGTAGACAGCTTCAATTGAATATTTAGAAAATAAATTTTTCATTATTATAGGGTAGCACCAGTTGTTGTTTTTTTATGTTGTCTGGAAGGCAGGTTGTCTTAGATTCAGTGCTACACTGGAGATGGGAAGTACATTTTTAAACTTCATCTCAAAACCTGGAGGTCTTAAACATTAAGAACACCTGAAATATGTAATTATCAGTTTATCAAATTTTGTTCCATACAACCACAAACCTATTAGTGTTCACTGTGAATAACTGACACAAAGTTTTGCACTATGGTAATGTAGGAAACGTGTTTAAAGCTGCATATGATTAAAACTAGCATATAAATTATAATGTCAGATGCAGCCTTTCTTAACAGACTGATGGAGGATCCAAGAGGAAGCCTAGTTTTAGGGGCCCCTGAAAGGAATGTAGATGAAGAGGAGGAAGAGGACACATCTACAGTAAGACAAAACAATTTACTAGTAGAATTGTGGATCCACAGTAGCAGACTAAGTACTATGTTTTTTTTTACAATGTCTTTCTAGGTTTTATTGAGTGTTTTAGTACAGCGGGGACAGTTAGGGCTCTGTTTCTATGACAGTGAAGATTCCTCTTTACACTATATGGTAGATACTCCTGATAACCAAAAGCTTCACCTGTTGTCAAGAGGTAAAGAAAAAAAAGTTCTATTTTACAAGAAAACAGCTTTCAATGTTTTGCCGTTAAATATACAGTGTTCTTCTCACATAACATCTCTTTGTGTTGTTAAGTCATTCAGGAGGTCAGGCCCCATGTAATCATAACCAGTGCAAAACAAGAAGGCTGCTTGACCCAGTTTTTGCAGAAACTTGGTGAGCTCTGAAAAAAAGTCTCTAATACTAGATAACGAGTGGAAAAACAAAAATGTTAACTATTTAGTTTGGATGTGATGTAGGACAAGTTGTTTCTGGGTCAAGGGAACTTAAAGAGATTAGAGATGTTTGACACTGTAGCTGGTTGAATGTGATAAGGGGAAGACTGATTGTAAAGGTGGTTATACCCTGTTTTTTTCCAGCTTTAACAAACAGCATTACATGAAACTTATCTTTTGGGTTTCAGGTTCCAACCCTCACTACAAACCCGAGGTGGTGACTTATCCATATGTTGACTTTGGTAAAACAAAAATTTTTACCTCTTCTTCAGTTTTCAGGCTAAATATCTGAGAGAAAATACTTTTTAAAAAGCTGTAGATCATGGTTGAATGTTGCAGGTCTTGAGGTCGGTAAGCAGAGGCTTCTCTCCGCCTATCTGCCGTTTCTTCCGGCTTGCACTTCAGAGAGGGACAAACTGTCTTACCTCTCCTCCTGTATCACCTTTGACTCACCCTTGATGGTGAGCCAGATCTCTTTATAATTTCATAACCTTGTAGTCCAGCTATGTCCACCATTTGCCAGCCTTTGAAAGGTTCTGCACTTCCGTTGGTTAGCTCCGGGCAGTGGGAGCTCTGCTGAAATGTCTGGACAGGAGGAGAGTGGGAGTAGAACTGGAAGACAGCACTATTGGAGTTCCAATCCTTCATTTTCATGCCTACACACTGTGAGACACACTAACATGTCCTTCATCACACACACATGCACTGTAGTGTGGGTATTTGTTCCACAATGTGGCCCTCTAGGCTGCGTTTGGAGGCTTCTGTTCAGTTGCTTCTTTGTCAATTTGTACCTGCATTTCATTCCTGTTAGCAACAGTCTATTTTAATATACTTACTAATTTATCGCTTGTTTTTTGTCTTAATAGTTTAGGATTTTGATAAATGGCAGAGATAAAAAGAAATGTAGAAATTCTCAGTTCAAAAGCATAATTCACCATTAAAGATCATTTTATATTCTACCCAATTCAACTGATTGTGGTTTCCATCTCTTTGGTTTTCTTTAGCACATTTTGAGAGACTTATACTTTTGATCAAACAAAAATAACTGAGCAACCTCCACATGGTAAAATTTACTGAATAAAGTCATGTAATCACATTTCCATACAATGGACTTCTAGTGATTAAAATATTTTTATGAATGAAAAAATATGACAGTTTCAAAACCTTGCTTCTTCTCATTATAGTAAAGGAGTGGTTTACATTGACAAAGATACTTACAGGCAAGTATTTAAAACATGTTCCTTTGATTTTACTCTGTTATTCTGTCCTTCTCATGGTTTTCAGGTTTCTTTTCTCCCACTTAAACACACATGTAAAGGTAGTCAGTTTGCTCTTATGTTACTGAGGCTCTGTGGTCACTTGATAATGGTTGATTATTTGTTGTTTACCTCAAATAGTTTTATATACAAATTATTTTAAATATAAACATGTACAATTTTAGATCTTAATAGCAAAAAGCAAATAAAAAGTCTGTTTTTCTATATTTTCTTTGTTTCTTGCATTTTTATTTTTATTTTAGCGTCTGCTTTATAAAGTAAAATCACTTTTCTGTAAGTCAATAGTTAGGAGAATAAATCAGTTCTGTTATTTTTAGTCTTTTTATGTGAAGACAGTGTGCTTTTAATTCTTCTAGTGTGCTTCAGATCTTTAAATCAGATCTACATCCATCAGTGTACAAACTGCAGTCCGGTGAAAAGGAAGGACTGAGCCTCTATGGTATGCAGCCTAGATATTAGAAGTTTTTCTCTTTATTTAAATGTATTAATGTAAAATACACCTTTTGTCTTTGCATTACAGGAATATTAAACCGATGTAGA